AATCTATTTTTACAATAATCAGTAAGTATGATGACAAAATTTTATTTATATGACATTGAATATTAGAAAAGGAAGGCCCTCAGTAGTGCCACCTGGCAAGAAACATTAAACACATGTTAAACTTATGTAAGAACCTTGGTAAATCACCGCTGTATAAAAGTTGATCWGCTTCATCCCGAAGAAAACTATTCTGACTGCGCCACTGTGAAGCACCATTTTTTTCCGTTAAAAAAACCGGAAACGGGTGGGAACTGTTTAGCACAATACTGCCACCGACCGTGAAACACCCTGTATACATATTATAAGGGAACTGCATGCCGTGCGCATTCGGAACAAACTATATAAAATTCATCGTTGATTATTATAATATCAATGACGGTAAGTGGTCAACATTCTAAATCCTAATAACAGCCCAATGTCGAAGAGTCATAAATTATTATTATGATTATTGTGTGTGCGAGTTTTGTTCGATGGCGCTCGGTGGGGACCGCACGTTAATCACCGCGAACCCGGCCAATCATAATATTATTATGCACACGATAAATTAATAATAATATTATTATTGTCGTACACGCGCGGTCGATCGGTCGGTGGGAGAGAGGACTGCACGCGCGCTGCAGCCGCGAGCTTGGAATCGCAAGCCATGTCACACACGCACACGCGACGCACACCCGCGATATAACGCCGCGACATAAACGCGATCCGACAAACGCACGGCGAATCGGTCCGATCACTACAGCACATCCAGTGCGGTGCAGCGGTGGTGCAACATAAATACGTATACCATACGGCACACGCGTGTTTCGTACAGGTGCACCGCGCCCGCACCGGAACTAGAATCCAATATCATTATGGCCGATTATTCGGCGCTGGTCGTGCTGTTCGTCTCGCTGTCCATATTCGTGTTCTTCAAGTACTGCCTAGGAAATCCACACGGCGACGGGCTGGACGCGTTCCGATACGACAACGCCACCAGGCCCGTGCTCCAGCACGTGGTGTACGACGAATTCGCCGGGTCCGCAAGCGCCCAACTGCAGTTCGTCTGACCCAGCACACACGCAGGACATGATAATGCACCAYCGTAAGATCACACGCAGCAGTGCAGCACTACCTCTTTTATACATACGGTAACGGCGCTCTAACTTTAAAGCGTGTGTGGGTACTGCGAGTGTGCTGCTACTCAAATATAACATACAATAAGTCATTTGTCCAGTAATAACGAGCCACGCACCGACGAAAATTGGTTCTACTCAGCGCATCCCTGCACTTCTATCCTAGCTATCCTGCCAAAGTGCAATCAGTCTGGATGACAGAGGGTCGCATGGGGAGAATCGACGACAAGTTTTCTCGCTGAACTGCAGAGTATATTACATATTATTTAAATAGATATACGCCACAACGGTGACTCCGAAAATCATAGGTAGGTATTATACCTATAATATGTTAGGTATGCCGGCGGGCTGAATTTAATAGTGGTTTCCAAAAAAAAAATTTAAAAAAAAATTTGGTAGCTCAAAGCTTGAATTTACTACTACGATTAGCGAATAATAAATAAATTGTGTCTGGCTCAAATCGAATCTGTATTACTGCCTAATTATTTGTTACCGATTTGATATTGACTTTTTCAAAATTTTAGGTTTTTATAATTACCTGCAGGTTTGTTTTTTTTTACATAGAATTCATACAACTATAGTTAGATATATCTAAAGTTTAATACGCTATACTTATATAGTTATATACAATAATATATTCCGTTACATATATTATACAGATAATATTATAATAATACGATTAAATAAAATTATTCATACCTTATTTAATGTTTATAAGCGTAAATGTATATGTTTACGACGTTTGAAAAAAACATACTCACTTTTTCATACTAAACACCCACAAATTATTTGAATGTGAGTAAGATGAAGGTTAATAACCACTCCCTTTTTATTTTATTTTCCAGTTTTTATTGAACTATATGATTATATTATATGCCAACATAATATAGTTCTATAAAATAAATATAGTACTGCTAATAGTATAATAAACACTAAGAATTTTTAAAACATATCATCGCCGACACGCAAAAACATGTTGAGATGAAATGGTTGTTTAGTTCATAATAAATATTAATAGATATATTATACTACATTACATTGGCGCAAATAGGTGGAAGCTTGGGGGGACTAAGTCCCCCTCATATTTTTTCCGAGTCCCCCCAGTTCAAAAGTCATTAATAAAGATCGGATTTAATTGATATTGCAACTTTTTTTTAGCTAAGATAAATCAAACCTGATCAAATATGTACACGATTTGTATTAATTACTGTCTTTCTGTTTAATTTTATGTTGCAATTTATTGCAATTTTTTTCAATTTTTATATTTCACGTAATCAAATGTACAAATCAATATTTCTTAACTAATTTTATCATATACAAATAATAACATTATTGTGGATTTTTATTATTGGTTTGATTATAATATGATCTTAGAAGTATAAAGGAGTACCTATTATCTATGTTATTTATCGCTCGTCTGGAATTTTCTTGCTCAAATTACTGCGACTAGCGATAACCGTCGTGTGCGTTTACCCGTTGAAACGTATACTAGTAGGTACCTATTTCTTTGATCAGTTTGACCGCACAAACCGACAGTGAACGTATTTGTCGAAATGCCTAAAATAAAATAAAATTTAAAAAGTAGTTACACTTAYMMGAGTTAYGCACGAATCTCAAAAATTTGGAAGAATCTAATAGTGAACTACTGAAAAGTATGGATATTYTTAGAAAAATTGAAGATATTTTAACAAATATTCCTGGTCCAAAAGGGAAAAAAATTAAGGAAAAATGTATTATGTAATTGAAAAAAATGAAGGGTATAAAACTTTTAAGTGTTACTATGAAGTCATGTCAGGACTGTCAGGTAAAGCAAATGTTAATTTAGATATAACGCCTACTTTATTAAATTGTTTTAAATAATATGCACCAATAACGAGTGTTGACGTAGAACGTAGTTTCTCGTTGTACAAACATATTTTAWGTAATAGAAGATTTAATTTTAATGAAAATAATTTAGAAATGTATTTAATCATCAATTTTAATTCAAAAATGTAATATTAATATTAAATGTAACTAGGTAATGTAATATTAATTAATGAATATATAAATACAACTTGCATTTTCATAGTGCAATTTATTTTGCAATTTTTATGGGATTTTTGGTGCAATTATACAATTTGATTATGCAATTTTTGAGTGTTTTTAATGTAATTAAATCCGGTCTTTATAGTCATTAATTAGTACTGAGAATATATAATTTGTAGAAAATATTATAGGAGGGGCTTTAGTTCCCCCAAAATAATTTGTCTATTTGCGCCTATGCTACATTAGATCAAAAACGTATGTTATTAAATTGACTGCATAAAAACGTACGGGACGTGTTAAAATGTAGACACAATTTATTAAGTCATGGTAAATTCATTGCCAAAACGGTTTAGCCAAAACGGTTTAACGTAAAATCACTTTTAAATCAATTTAACAGCGGTACCGAACACACACACAACTAATATAATCTTGAAACGTGATGTCCTTCAGCGTGTATAGCAATTGAAAAATAATTGAGAACACGGTTATACTCGAATACTGAATTGTAATTTATAAAACACCGTTTTAATTTGAAATCTATACAATATGTTAATATAGTTKATCGTGATGTATGTATTATATAACATGCGTGCATTAGACAAAAAACAACATTTTACGGCGATTTATTTTTTTAATAATGGTAAAAAACATAACAAGAACTCGTATATCTAGTACACGGGTATATGTGTTATGTAGACAGTAAACTGTATAAGTACACAAGGTGATCCATTTAAGTGATTACACATTGTTACTATTTAAAAATCAAAAGTTGATAGTGGTTTCGCCAATAAATATAAAGGCGAGAAAAATTAAAATGTTATATAGTTTTAGAAAAACATAAACCTAGAAGTTTAAAAAGAAAACTAAAAAAAAGTTCATACTTTTTGAGATAATTAGTGTACCCACTTAAATGGACCACTCTGCATACAAAGTTGGAATATTAAAAAATTAAGATAATCATTAATTTTGACCAAATTTATCGATTTAGAATATAATAAAACAAATATATATAATTAAATAAACAGTAAATATATATATATATATATATTAGTTTATAGTATTTTATACAAGATTAATTAACCAGATTGATCAGTATCAACCCATTTTTTTTTTTAATAATGAATTTATTCAAATTATTAAAATAAATGTATTTCATATACTTTTAATAATTAGTATTCTGTAGCAGTGTAGCGATACTGTCTTCTGTTTTTCAAAATATAAGAACACTTTTTTTAGTGTAAAATATTTAGTGGATATAAAAGTATCTTTCCAAAACACAGATTTTAWATAAGCATATTTTTTAAGAAAAAAGTTTGTGATTGGGTGATGCGAATTGCTCAATAAATCCCTCTTGATATTATATATAACTCAATTTTTTAATCGTATAGACAGTATAGACTATATTAGTACTCGTTATTTTAGTGTTTCAGATTTTCGTACTTCAATAAGACTTTAAAGGATTTCGATTGAATCTATAAACGTGATTATTTTCAACCTAATATTAATTAAACACTTAACAAAATATTAGATGTATTTATCATGAATCTATAAAAAGTAAAATAACTTGTTCGTCAAATACGATGATTAATGATTATTATGTATTGATAATAATGATACTAAATACTAATTTACTTACGTTGTCGGATAAGACGAGTAACTCGAGTGCAAGGGCGCCAATAGCGTAATATTAAAAAGCGAGTTCCTCGAGTAGGATATGTCACCCGATATTCTGCAAACTGTTCTGTATCCTGTTCGCAAACTATTTATTTATTTTATGCTTTACTGTTATTCACCTATGTACCTACTATTTTTTTTTTTATTCAGGTGATTAGGTCGTTGTAACCGACAATATTATTTGTGTAGATATTATTTAGAATTTACTCGTGTTATTTTTTTTTTTTTAAATTTATTCATAATGAATAGAAAACGATTTTTCAACGTAATCTATACATAAATTAGATAATGTTGTCAAAAGGATAGAAATACATTATAATATATATAGCATGTGGACCATAAATAATATTCAATAAACAAAACACATTATACATACAAGTAATTCTGGTTCTATAATGGATATATATTATATTCTTGACCTGYGGCATATATTTGGTCTTGGATAAAAGTAAATGGCTATGAATAACCGACATAATAGAGGACGCTATAAAAATATAAATAGGTAGTTGATTTTTATTTTATTTTTTCAATGTATCGTTAATCGTTATCTAAAATGTTTCTATTATTCAAAATGTGATTGATTGATTTTAATTATTGTCGCACACGCAATTTAATTAAACCATTTATAATTTACTGCAAAAAAAGTGTAATGAGCTTTTTATTTTAGTTTTTAAACTTTTAATTTATTTTTTATTTTTTTACGTTTTAGATATCTGACCCGTTTGAACTAAATCCTATCACATAGTTTAAAGCACACGACGTCTAACAGAAGTTAAGAAGTCTCAATAATTATCCATAACTGAATAACATCCAGCTTGATGTGGTTTCCATTACTTAATTGCCCGAATTGGAAACGAAATTCCATAGTTATTCGTACACAATTTGATTAATATAGTTTCACCAATGACTAGTGCCTACTACCAGACAATAAGGATAGCCCGGAATGATTRCTATTCTAAACAAACATCTTCGTCATGCTTCGAAAAATAAATATTATTTTCAATATTAACAATTTTAAAATATTATTAAAATATCCCGCAGTAACGTGATGAAGAAAAACTACCAAACGGTACAATGATCAAAATAAATCATTGTTTTACACAGAAATAACTAAGAAAAAAGAATATTTCATATACATAATATATTATATATAAATTGCTCATTTTAAATAACAGTTAGATGTAGGTACTTGCTAGTTTTATCAATGTAGATTATATGTAAACATGTAAATAGTTTTATTATATACAATTATTGTTGTATCATTATTTGATATTATACCTGTAATTTGTAAATATATATAGAGTAGAATATATCTATATTACAACCATTGTAAATGAAAATGTACATTTTTACTATTTTAAACACACAACATTCATCACTATTATCACTCATTTTCATAATATTATAATTGTTATTTATTTGTATACCTAGTTTATAATATTATAAAATATGTGCGAATGCTATACTTTTGTATAATTATTTTAATATATTATACATGTACGCCTAGGCCTCATGACTCATTATAATTAGGTATCCAGTTATGAACAAGCTGGTTCAAGCACTAATATAGGTTGATACTAATGATACTTGATAGAAGACAAGTTGCTGATTTAATTTTTCTTAGCTAACTAATCAAAATCAATGGCAATATTAACTTTAAAGTCACTTATACAGTTATACGCATGCCCGCCAAATGTATTTATCTTCTCTATCTAAAMGCAACACTCAATACAAAGTGTAAATGGGCGAATTTATTCTTCCATCCTATAATGTAAGACATATATTTCAATTAAATACACAAATCATTTCATTTTTGAAATTCTTTATTGAATAAAACTGCATTTAATAGTTTAATACTAAACATTAAATATGGTTTTACACTTATGTAAGTACCTACTTACCTATATAAATGCTAAAATGCAACAAATTTACAAATAAATAATTTAACTAAAATATATACTTATATATACTTAATGTTTACGAAAACTTTTTACAATTTATATTTTTAATAATGCTAAGTTCAAAGACTGAAATTATTGAATATTCTATAATAACGGATAACAAGATTTCAGGTTTAAAAATACTATTGAACTGTACCTATATAGTATAGTTTGTGTAATATTTCATTCATCTTTGTATTGATATTAATTGCACCTGTTTGAACCGATATTGTAAATAGTTTTTCATACCTGCCTACTTAATGTTTAATTAGTATTATTGTTGTTGATACTAATATTTTCTGTTTCTGTAATTTTCTGATCAGCTTGGCTGTTTAACAATGGTGCTATAAGACTCGATAGTTTAAAACGATTCCTAAAAATAAATAAATAATCAGTTAAAATTGTTACAAACGTTTAACATGTGTACCTATGTTCAATATGATATAATGATTGGCGAGTCAATCCTCAGATCTTTTCCACCCTAAAGCGAACATTTTAAAGCCACTCTTCTATATCGATATTTATTTAATTTTGCTCCTTCTATTTCTTTAAAATTATATGTCACCCTAAAACGGTGATAACTTGCATGTGTATATAGCGACGGGCCTAGCCGGGATCGGTAAATATATAGATATTATATGACTATTCACTCTACGTATACAGAGTGTGATTAATGGCTATAGTTATATACGAGATAATGGACTAAATTTTATATTAAAATACCTTTTAAATAATGAAAAATAAATAGGTTACAAAATAATTAATGTAAATTAATTAATAATAAGTATAACGTATCTTAGACAACATGAATGAAAAACGCTTCTTTTATCATATCACGACAGAGTTGTTTCAATTTTAAAAAATCCATTAACTTTCACTAAAGTTATACATATACCTAATGCTTTATTATAATAGTTAAAGATACAAAAATTACAGTATAATACAAAATATTTTAACACATTGTGAATTCTAGTGAAACTAGGACATATTTTTATTCTTTATTAAATGATTTAAATGTATTGTATATTTGAAAATTTGAAAAATTATTTTTTGGTAATCTTAAATTGAGAATGATTTTTAAATCCAAAAAAGTAGACCTTCCCAAGTTATAGTAATTTATTCGAATACATTTAAATAGTTGATTAAAAGTTCTATACTAATAAAATTGTTCTCTCTAATAGTTACTTAGGAGCAGTGGTGCCAAAATATATATTTACCTATGACAGCTGTCGTCATAGGTGATTTTAGTAGGTAGGAGAGTTACGTTTGTCATTCTAAATATATTACGATATGGATAATTGCATGTATTAGACATTACTGTCAATTGTAAACTAAAAATTGATAATATTTCATAAAAACTATAAGRTAAGGTAATTATAAGAAATAGGTGGGTGTCAAAATTTTATGTGTAGGTGTCTAATGTCATAGGTAAAATGTTGGACTTTGGCACCACTGCTTAGGAGTTAGAATCTATGAAATGGACAATTAACATAACAGTTAGTTCTAATATTCTGATGTAGTAGTTAGAGTTAAAAAATTWAAAATTCCGTGCATAGGCCTAAACTTTCAGTGACATTTTGTTTATGTATATAATTTTATATCTAAACCGTAATAAATAGATTTTAAAAAGGTAGGTATCTAATGATGTAAAAAAAACACATTTGAGCTTTAAAATATTTTCTAAATAATTTATATGGAACCATATGATAAAATGTTTAAAACATTATATTATTTGAATTATTTTATAGCCTATCACCCTATCACCTTAAAACCTTTGATTATTTACTAAATACTAATACATTATAATAATATACTAATTTACAACTCGGAATATGTTATAAATTCGTAACATAACTAGGTATTATGACAAATATTGTGCTTACATACTAAATATTGATATGTATTCAGTATTGTGATGTATATACATTACGATATTATATAGTATATACCTACTATATAGGTACACTGCAAATATACAATATATCCCACTAAACGTATACTTTTTTTTAACGATTTTTCGTACTGTAATTTCATTTAAAAAAAAACAGTGTATAATATACAATGTATACATAACTCTGTAATTATATTCGTGGTGATACCAAGTAGTATATTACATAGAATATAGATTTTAACAAAAAACAAAATTCTTTAATAGATTTATATTACCTATAGTGCGACAATGTGTGATACCTAATTGATACTTCTAAYAGCTAGCACTCATTTCGAACATAATATAGGCGTACACTTTTTGAAACTTTATTGAATATTGTTGCTGGACCATGTAAACAATTCTGACATTTTATGTTCCCCTTATTTTTTATTCTCTCTTTCTTGGTAAACCAATTCCCTAAACCTATGCTTTGTAAATTCTTTTTAATTCAAAAAACTTGAAAATTTAATATGAGGTTAGGTACTCAAAAGTTTTCATACATATAAAGTATCCACAATATAAAGTCACGATCTTTTCATAAGAATTTAAAGTTCAARTTTTTACAAAATTATTTAAAATTACAAACATTTACAAAGTATTTTCTAGTTAAAATTCATAAAATATTTCATTCTTTATACCTAATTRAAGCTTGAAAAAATTTTTGAAAAATTGTTTATTATACGATTTTTCTTGAATTAAAAGAAATTAAAAATAGTAATGACTACAATTCTTATCATTTAAAATCAATTTTTGATATAATGTGTTATTTAACAACAAACATATAAGTGTGAAAGAATAAGGACATTATAAAATGTAAGATTTCAACTATCTTAATTTTCTCCAAAAAGAGAATTTCAAGTTATTCTTTTTTAGTAATTAATGGTCACCAACAAAGTATCTCTTTGCACCTATCTATACGCGTATATACAATACTATGTATCTATACAAATATTTATTAAATAAGTCAATCGGAGTAATTAAACTACACTCGTTTCCATTGTCTATAATATAATAGTTACCATTATCTGTTAACTGTTATACGCTTTTACCAGTTTCTTCCTTTCGGTACGCCTTTTTTGTCATTTTAGTACCTAATTCAATAAATATAATAGTAATATTTTACTTTAGAAGGAAATCCTCTAATTATTATGCCAATATTATAATTCGTGATTCATGACCATTTACAAAAGTTTGCGAAAAATGTTAAATGTTTGGTAAAAACTTTTATTATTATATGCGATGACGTTTATTTTTAATACTTTCAAAATAACCTACCTATGATACTAGTCTATGATCTGTAATACACACATCATGAGAACCTGTCGCGATGGAATATTTAAATTTGGGCTACATAATTAGTATAATACATCAATATACCTACCTACTAACTTTTAACTATAAATTTCATAATAAATTTGTTTAATATCATTGATAGATGGTATATCAACGCGATCGTGATTATATACTTTTTTAACGTACGTTAGTGTATCTACGACGCAATTCATTATAAAAATTATTAATTATATTAAATTATAATGCTAGTGCAAGTAAGTAGATATGTAATTATGTTAAATATAGGTAATAAGGCCATAATACTGTACACTGACTTTTTRGCGGCCTGCCTATGCCGGTTGTTGCACTTGAACCCGGTGCACTCGGGGCCCGTCGGCCGGTATTCAGACGCTGCGCTTGCCAACTCTGAGTTGAGAAACTGCGCGCCGGCCATGGACATAATCTGGAACAGGCCGTCGGCCGGAGCCAGCACCACTTTGAGGTCGCTCAGGCTGATCCTCACGTTCTCAGTGCCGTTCTGCCGCTGGTCGTACGTCACCACGTCGTCCACGTTCGATGCTGCGGGCTCAGCCGCTGGAGCCGCGACTGTCACTGCCACCGAGGCGGTCAGCGCCAACAAGTAACCGCTCCAGAACAATTGTCGGCGCATGGCGGTACGGCTATTGACGTGGATCGCTGAGAACGCGTGCAAAATAGATCCGCAGATCTCGCTGGACGTATAATAATAAATTATACGCGACGTCGTGTCGGCCCGTGCTCAGATCGCGTTGACGGCGGGATTCGCTGCAGACGTTACGCCAGAGGAACTTCGTTAACTGGACCGGTGGACCGCTGCAAGGACAAAGTGCACCGTCTCCTTTGCTGGCCCGCGACGACGACGTAGTTCCGGCGATGAGCATCAGCAGGAGGAGGAGGTGGCGACGGCCGCGGAGCTGTACGGCGGAAGAGGTGGACACGGATCTCGACGCGGAGATCTCGCGGAACGTTCGCAGTAGCCTCTCCTACTTCGCGTAAAACCGGTCGATGCCCGGTGTATCTATTTATATGTTATAGGTACATACGCGTACCTTTTTATATACAATAATAATAGAAATAATAATGATAATATCATTATCACAGTTCGGGTCATTGACGCGTAACCTCCATACGACATGACCGTTACGGCGGGCACAGAATAATATGATGTGCGTACCTGTGTTTCCGATATCCCCCGTTAATGTTTATACATATTATATTATAATTTATATGGTATCTACGTAAACATTATAAAATAGATRTACTTAAGTATACTAAGTACAGAATACACCATTTATTATAATATTACCTATATATAAATTTACACGTTTTACGTCATATAGGTAGTATAGCAGAATCTTAATTATAGAAGTCCTCTGCTTTTAACTAAAATGATTGCCAAGATATTAGGGGATTTCTCTAATTATAGCAACATTTACAATACCTATTAATTATGGAAGTAAATGTTAACTTCTACACCATCATCTATACTAAATAATGATATATAGTAGGATCTGCCATATACACACACAAGCTAACCAGTAATTTTTTTTTTTGAGGGGGGGATAGAACTCCCTGATCCCGGAGATTTGCATCACTGTTATTTTAGCATTCGTGTGATTTAAAAAAAATAAATAGGTACTGATTATAAAAAAAGTTAAGAMATATTTTTTATATATACGAGATGATAAAAGTCTCATAATACTTCATTCCCAGAAATATAAACACTTTCAAGTTTTAATGCATAAATAAATATTAAATATAATACATTTATCCATAAAAATAAATGAACGCTACGGTCATTGAGACACGTGTGGCCGTCATTGTAATTGTATATGTGGTCCRCGAATAAAATTAAAAATTTGTTTAAAAATCACGAACTAAGATAGTATGAACTAGTCCCAACTGCGGTTTAAAACGTTGTTTGCTCATATACATACCTCGTTAAATTAATATGACTAATTATTATGAACTTAAATAAACTAAATATGGTATGAATATACATTTTTGTTGAAAATATGGTCCGGGATCCGTGAACAATTTTATTTTAATGTTTTTGGCCTTTGGCATCAGAAAGGTTTCCGACTTCCGATTTACGAGATCAAAAATATTTAAGTTCTACTATATGATGTAAAAAATAAAAATTTATGGGCCCCTTTTGTTATCTGCAGTGATCATACATTATTCTGATGAGATCGAGTTGTATCGTGATTCTACGTGTCTTATTTCACTGTACATAATTTTTACTCATACTAATATAACATCTTCATGCCATTCAATATAGGATTTGAGGTGTATTTTATGACATGTGTATTAAAATTTATCATTTTTATCTATCTAAATCTAAACATTTATTTCCAATAACCAATTTTATAATAAGTAGGTAAATATTAAGGTGTCTAAGTACTATGTTTATATTATATACATTAATTCTACTGCAGTTTTGATTATTTAACACGTAATTATTGAAATCATTAATACTATCAATGATCAATCATACCTATGATAAACAATTTAACGTATTAATTTTGGTAGAAAATGAATACGATAAGTAGTATAAAATATTATTCCATTTCATGAGCGTTAGACGTTTGCTCATTTGCTATAGTTATACGAATTTGTATARGCCGTTTGCRCATCGCTATTGCTATAAATTACATAAACTATATCATTATTATAAAACTATAAATATATATAATTATTTATATAAAATGTATCATCTTAGTTAGACTAGAATCTTTATTTAATCAATATTCATATTAACATAAAAATTACAAAACTAAAAATGATTTGTATACACATTTATTATCAAAAACCGTGGTTCCAGAACGCSTGAGTTACCTATCGTTATTTTGATATCATCGTCAYCTTTAAATCTTGTCTGTGTATCATCCGGTGGTATCATTAGCTACAGGTAGGTAATAGGTACACACCTTTTAATCTTTATATTGTTAAAAAGCGCGATGCGCAAACGATTAACCAATTTTATTTTACTTGAGGTATTAATGATACCACAAACTCCGTTTATTTTAGTGTAGGTATGGGTAGTGTAGGTAATGAACAAATTATTTCCACAAAAAATATTGTCATAAATACTGTTTTATACTAAGTATTACATTAAACCACCAATTTGTTTTAAATTTATATAAAATTTATAATGTCTGGCAATCACTCAAAAACAAATAACGGTGCTCTAGTTAATCGGATGAGTTTTTTTTAAAAATAATATTGCAAGCGTGATGCGTACATAATTATTCAACGAACCAGAAAGCCTTATTTTAAAATAAATATAATATTATAATAAATACGTTTCTTTGACTATTCTCAGCAATTTCACGTTATAATAATAATATAGGTAGGCACCTACCTACTAACTATATAGTTATTTAGTATACCTAGTAACAAAATATTAACACTTTTGTATAGTTATTTGGAAAAAAGTTTTCGAGTTTATTACTCTATTTATAAAACCACATTTTCCCTCTATACTTTTTAAACATAGTCATCATTAGTTTATTACCTTAAAAATTAAATTAAAAAAAAAAATAATATTCTATTAATAATTTGTTTAAAAATACAAATCATCACAGTATGATGGTAGAAAATTCATATCTATAAGTTATAACACAAATAATTATACAACCAACCAATTTTAAATAAAAAATCATTATTTAATTTTAGGATTAAAAAAATTATTTTCTTCAGCACAATAATATAGTTTATTGTTGTTGTATGTAGGTACAAAATCCACTTTAATAAACGTATATTAATTTTGTATAACAATCCATCAGAATCGCCCGACGTTCCTACAACTAARATAAATGTGACACATATAAATCGTTATTGAAAAACAATTTAAAATCTATCAAAGAAAATAAAATAATGATGAAATACGTGAAGAGATGTCTAATGTGTATAACCCACTTATGAATTTGTCACTTRGTTTCAACTTACCTACATTTTAATAAGCACAAACATACCAACATGGATCATATTATAAAATGCGTATCGACTACAATTTGAAAAGTTATTGTTATGGCCGTTATGGGTGTATGACAAATAATCTAATAATAATTGAATAATATTCTCTAAGTACAAAATATGAATCGAAGTGTCATCAAATATTTATACCAGCCAAAAACTTTAAGTATGTATAGGTACTGTATATAGGTATACAACTGACAGATCCAAATTTTGCTTTTTGTCTGGAATCAGACGRTTTGTTTATTATTCCAATAATTTAATTTATTGATAATTTTTKTAAAACTATATAGAACAATCTCTAAACAAAACAACTATTATACCTACCTATGCTAATACATAATATTTATTTTGGTATTTAAAAATGTGTCTCGGGCAGTAAGGCTATGCTTGGTCTTAATCTGGTATTGCTTGTCTGYGTCTCTGCAGACTTGATATGTGCTTTATCCTAATACTCATAAAAAAAGTATGTACCTACATACTATATAATTTATAAGCACGTTATTCCCAGATTAAGTTAGGTAGTTTACATTAACGGATTAACGTTACCCACCTACGAAACATTTAAAACATAATGACTGACAAAATTGCAGAGAATATACCTAAAATACAATTTATAATATAATATACGTGCTGGTAGCTTTTTAAGTTTTTTTTTTTCAGATGACAAAAATTATAGTAATTACTTGAATAGTTTAATAAATTAATATCTATTAAATCTAACCATTTAATAAAACACCGGAGGAAAAGCTTTTAAATACCTATACCCATCAACGTGGTTGGTGACGCGTATATTAAGGCAGTTTTTAAAAATTATTAATAGTATGAATACCATCAAACATATTAAGTAATAATTGAGTATGTCCTCGAAAACACGTACGTTAATTAATTCTATAACAATGCAAACAAACTAAATATTTCCATATAAATACTGCTCTATATATAGACTATAGTATGCTAAGTAGTTGTTAATTTGTTATCCATTTGGACTTACACAGATCATAGTACATGGTTGTAGCCTGTAGGCAGTTATTGAATAATTTGACGCATAGAGGTATTAGGGGTTCTCAATTCTGAAAATATAATCGTGTGACGTGTATACATTATATTATATTAAAGAAAACTAGTTAGTCGTGTTGATATGTATTATTACTACAACGGCTGTACAATAAAATAAATTATAGGATTATGTTCTCTAATAAAAACCATAAATATTTAGTTTGGTCATTTTAGCATATTTACTGCAGACTGTAATRTAATGTATTGCAAGTTTCCACACCACCTTAGCTTATTAAACGATGACAATGTATAATATGTCGCATTTAATGTCACATGAGGTATTGCAAGAGGCGCGTTTTTTTTATTGTGGTGTCCCCATGTAGGCCTATTCCACAAAGAGGAGAATGGGAGTGAACTGCCGGCCAACTCAAATGAGACAAACTGAGAAACCGTGAGAAATGTATTATGTCATATCATTATTTTAGCCAATATAATAATGCAGATTAATATAAATATAAAGATGATTTAATAATGTATCTTTTTGYTAACCACAATTCTCCCAATGTCCCCTRTACCGTATTAAATTCAAAACGTGGATATCGTTATCGGTAGTCCTAAAAACGCTTAACGCGAGACCAATGAAAATAATTACAAAATAAATGYATTCTATRTACACAAAATAAATAATTAGTTATATACTGAATTTAACACGGCAATATTATATTTCTACATTCTACCTATACATAATTTAGATTATACATTAAATAAAAAATGTAATAATAGTACCTATAGGTACCTACTATTATTATTGTATACTTTATCTATAGTATTACGCTATACTACTTATAGCTAATTGTTGTAAATTACAGTTAATAATATTATTCCTGGAAAAAACAAACCAACAATAACAATAAACTTGAACAAATAAAATTATCATCTACCAAAAAATGATCAAACTCAGTAATAAAGTTCACATGACACGAGGAAATCATGGTTACCATAGTACGCATTGGACAAACTAGACTCACACATTCCTTCTTATGTGTAARAAGACCGAACACAATAAAATATAAACAATACCTCACTCAAAGAAGCATATTCGGCTCCGGACGAGAAAAAAGAATAATCGATTTCATCGAGATTGCTGAGCTCGCATATTATTTCTAAAAATAAATTAAACTTATAGCTTACCTATAGGTACTGGCTAGTCTGGCTAGTACCACTATTATAACTGGCAATTGCTTTTCTTTTATCCTGCAAAGCTTTATAACGTTAATTATATAATTAAAATTTTATTCACGTACCATTTTTAATCCAGTTTAATTTTTTTTCAATAAAACCATAGCTTGATGATTTGTATATTTAGAAAAAGCAATACATCTGAATTATATAATCGTGTCTTATTATGATATATTCTTGTATCTGAAAAATAATTCCCTGCAATAACTGAATAAGAGAACATTAAAATACATTTTCCTAAAACAACTATTTAAACGAAAAATTGACTCAAAAAGTATTAAATAAAAATATTATATTCATGTTTGAAAGTATGAGTATATTAAAATAAATAGAATTAATAACTATGTACAAAATTACAATAACCGAGAGTCACAAAACACTTAACAAAATAAACATATATACTTTCGTTATAATAGGTAGGTAATGCAAATACGTGTATAATAGCCAGCACAGTTTTTAATTTGTTTACTAATTACAGCCAACATAATAATGAAATAAGTTGGTTTAATTATTAAATAAAAACTACCACRACCGCACTAATTATCTCTATCGAATTTTATTATTATACATAATAGTTGCTTATGTTTAAGTTGGTGTCTCCGTGGAAATTGTCGTCGTTGTTATAATTAGATTTGCGACATTTGCGTATTGCGTGTATTGCATCATCGTACCTTATAACTTTTGTCAGTAATCAACGGTTAACTCAATACCCGCCCAGACTTTATGGTTATGGCGGATTGAGTGCTTTAGGCCGTCACGTCGTATAGCCGATATACCTTTTCGTATGTGTAAGCAATTTAAATTCATAGGCCGTGTTTGARTACCTATCTAGCAAGTCGGTCATCATCGGCAATAGTCTATACTCAATAGGTAGGTAACTGACTATTAATTTTAGACAACACGTTGAACAACAATAAGTAACAATGCAGTGTTTCGCAGAAACTATAGTTTAAATATTATTATATATTATAGTCATAAGATCACATAATATAATAATATTATATGGAGATCGAGTGTAGTCACTCACATGGGCGTATACCCTATGCGTTTACATACTCTTCGGGCAGACGCTTGGGAGCACGTCATGAACAAATTAGTAAGATGAAATGTCATGCTCATTAATTTTAGGATCATTTATATCTGTGTGAGAGGGGCATATTTTATCAGCCGCATACCCTGCAAATAAAGTCTGCGCACGCCTATGGTAGGCACTACGCAGGGCTGGATTTAAAGGTGGGCCCACCGGGGCTCCCATAAGATTCAATTTATAAGAATTAAGAGGCCCCCACAAAATGATAACTTTAAAAAAAAAAATTTTCTAATAATTCGCAAAAAATATTCTAGTTTAGATAAGAAATTAATAGTATGATGAGGGAATAACCCATCACTAATATAATTTTAAAGTTTAAGTTTTAAAGCAAGTAGATTAACTAAAATTCATAAATTTCAATCTTATGTGGGCCCTGAGGCCCCCAACACCTTTAATCCAGCCCTGATTGTAAGTTGTTGATATTAAGTTTATAATAGTCGGCCGATAAAGTACGGAAAACTTGATGGGCCTAATAATGCAGGCCACCAGTCACCACAGCTACCTATCTGCAGACATCAAATTATTTACTATTTACGTAGCGAGGTATAGGTACCTCRTATCTAAATACCAAGTATACTTATTGAATTTAATGTGATTRTATAACAGCTGTTATAAAATTAACTTACAACTTAGGTAATCAAATCAATATTCAATATGATGAATATTGAGTTCTAGAAAGCTACTTTTTATTTTATTAAATGYTGTATACTTAAATAMATAGACTCAAATAGTCAAATCGTAAGGTGACTAAGGGAGCTTAGCCCCTCCCCCAATTTATTAGTGTATCACAAACTCAATGTATAAATAGTTAGGGCTTCAGCCCACCCGCAAAATTGAAACAATTTGTACCTATGATTATATATACTAGATATTTCACGCGTGGAAGYGTGGAGGTTCAGGTTGATCGCTTTAGGTCCTTTAGGAGTTGATTCCTAGTCACCAAAACGCAATAATGCAAAATAAATACTTAAAACGCCTAAAATACACCTATAGCTACRAAAACTACAACTGGAGTAATACCGCCAATCAGGCACCACTTGTATAATTAACAGTTCACTTAGAGAAGAGTACCTCATGAGTCATGGTATACTGAAAAATCGTCCATAGAAATTTTAAAAATCTGAAATYAGGGACCTATAAAGAACAAAATAYAACATAGAATTTTATAAATTGATACATATATTCAATGTATAAGTATTCTTCTATTTTACCTGAAATTCTAGCTCTTGGACGACCAAATGTTTAAAAATTAATATATTATGGCTGAATTTAATAAAATTACATTTCGAAAAAAAATGTATAAACGAGATATATTCATTGAGAATCAACAATTTAAACAAGACACACTTACTTTTTAAAAACTTATCAAAATAATCATGAATAGTTTAACTTTAACGCATATTATGTAAAAATTGGTAAGATACCTAATGACTACTATAATACTAATAGCACTAAAACATTATCTTTTGGTTAAAAATATAAGTCAGTCTAAGGACATTCTATGCAGGGATCAGTAAAAAATATTTTTGTAAGCCGATTTAGGAAATCATGAAATTTTCAGGAATAATGAAAATTGTATGTACA